TTTTACTGTGACTCAATATTTAGTACTTCTCTACCCCTAACCCTTTCCCATCTCTCTTCCCCCAGCCTTGGGTCCATAAAACCTTGTTGTTGTTGTTGTTGTTATGTGCCGTGGAGTCAGACCTGACTCATAGTGACCCCTTCTTGGGTTTCTGAGGCAGTATCACTATGGAAGTAGATTGCCCAACCTTCCTTCTGGGGAGTGACTAGTGGGTTTGAACCGCCAGCCTTCTGGTTAGCAGTCAAGTGCCTTAGGCACTATGCTACCAGAGCTCCCAAATGTAGCAGTAGTTAAATGAAAACTGGAGTGGCTACATTAATATCAGAAGTCTTTGAGTATAATTGTAGATTTGTGCATTATCCTTTGCAGTTCTATCAGTTTTGCAAAGGATAATGAGCAAATCTACAATTATACTCAAAGACTTCAATACCTTTCTTTCAATAACTGATAGAAGAAGTAGGCAGAATTTCAGCAAGAATACAGTACACTTAAAGCACACTATCAAACAACTTTCAGTGATTGAAATTTATAGAAAACACACAACAGGAGAATACATATTTTTCTCAGGTACACTAGATACATTTACCAATATAGTCCATATTCTGGGCCAAAGAACAAATACCAATAATTTTTTTAAATCAAAAAACGATTTAAGTTGTATAAATTATGGTTCTCCGACCGCAATGGGATTGAGTTAGAAATCAATAACATAGAGATGCTTGGAAAAATCTCCAAGTATCTAGAAACTAAATAGCATACTCCTAAATAACCCATTGATCAGAGAAGAAATCAAGTGAGAAGTTAGAAAGTATTTTGAACAGAATAAAAATGCCAATACAACATATCAGAATTTGTAGGATTGTGCTAAAGTAGTATTCATGGTGCGATCTTCTTGCACAAATGCCTACATTAGAAAAGAAGAAATGTCAGAAATTAATGACCTCAATCTCCACATTAAGAAATTATAAGAGGAAGAGAAAATTAAAATCAAAGAAATCAGAAGAAAAAAAAGATCAAAATGAAAATAAGTGAAATAGGAAACTGAAAAACTAGTTAAATCAATGAAATAAAAACTTTGAGAATATTAATAAAATTGATAAACTTCTAACCAGAATAATGTGGAAAAAAAGAAAGACAAGGCACAAAATACTAGTATTAGGAATGAGAAAGATAGCATCACTGTTCTACAGTTAATAAATGTCAATAAATCCAACTACCTAGTTGAAATAAATTAAATAAACACATAAAGCCTCCAGCCACTCCTCAGAAGACACAAATTACCGAAGCTCACACAAGGAATGATAACCTGAGTATATCAGTATCTATTGAAAATTTTGAATTTGTAGTTAAAAATCTTCCTACAAAGAAATCTCTAGGCCCAGATGGATTTACTCATTCATTCTGTTGAACATATAATGAAGAAATAATATTCTATGTAAATTCCTTTAAAATATAAAAGAGGTGCATCTACTTCTCCACTCATTCTATGAAACTTATACTCCCTGAAACCAAAACCAGAAAAAGGCATTACAAGAAAATATCCTTCATAAACAAAGATGTAAATATTCTAAACAGAGTTTTAGCATATTGAATCCAATAATATATTAAAAAGGTATGTCAAGAACTGAGCTGAGAGCTCAGCTGCCAGCTTTCAGAGTAGTTGATTAAGACAACAAACCGAAATGCGAGTAACAGTCACGCCTTTAATCACTTATTACTGTAACAAAAGCAAGAGGGTAATCTGGATGAAGTACTGACACCCCAGTGTTCCATTTTTTTCCCCATAGAATCATCAGGTGGATCAGCACAGCTGTGGGAATTTGTCTTGCTACCAAAGAAGCCTAAATAAAAGGTTCCTAAGGTTTTACTCTGGTAGCATAGTGGCTAAAGCACTTGACTGCTAACCAGAAGGCTGGCGGTTCAAACCCACCAGCCACTCCTCGGAAGGAAGGTTGGGCAATCCTACTTCCGTAGTGATACTGCCTCGGAAACCCAAGGAGGGGTCACTATGAGTCGGGGCCGACTCGACGGCACACAACAACAACAACAAGGTTTTACAGAAGGAACTCTGGTAGCATAGTGCCTAAGGCACTTGACTGCTAACCAAAAGACTAGTGATTCAAACCCACCAGCTGCTCCTCAGAAGGAAGGTTGGGCAATCTACTTCCGTAGTGATACTGCCTCAGGAAACCCAAGGAGGGCTCGCTGTGAGTCAGGTCTGACGCAACGGCACATAGCAACAATTGTTCCGTTTAACTAGTGGTTTATCATTTTACTGTTTCAAATGGTATTGAGATAATTATTATCCATAGAGGAAAAAAAATGAAATTAGATTCCCACTTCATCATACATGAAAATCTTTTAGAGAAAATGTAGGAGAATATCTCTTTGACCACTAAATAGGGAAAGAGCTCTTAAACTAAGTACAAAAAGTATGAACAATAAAGTAAACTGATTCACACCACCAACTAATTTAACTGAGAACTTCTGTTAATAAAAAGATACTATAAGGAAAGAAAAAAGATAATCCATACATTGGGAGAAGATATCTGTAACATATATAATAAAACAATAGCATTTAACATAAATAACTTATACAAATGAATATGAAAAAGACAGATTATCATTAAAATGGACAAGAGATATAAACAGAAGAGGAAACTCAAAATGGCCAATAAACATGAATAAATGCTCAGCCTTATTAATATTTACATAAAAAGCTAAAACTCATTGCCATCTAGTCAATTCCAACTCATAACAACCCTATAGGACAGGATAGAATTGCCCCATATGGTTTCTAAAGATGCAGTCGTTATGAAAACAGAATGCCACATCTTTCTCCTGCAGAGCAGCTAGTGAATCCACACTGCCAACCTTTTTATATGCAAAAAGTAAAAGGCATAATTTTAGACCCTACAGAATGACTCTGGTAGCATAGTGGCTAAGACACTTGCCTGCTAACCAGACGGCTGGCGGTTCAAACCCACCAGCCACTCCTCGGAAGGAAGGTTGGGCAATCCTACTTCCGTAGTGATAACTGCCTCGGAAACCCAAGGAGGGGTCGCTATGAGTCGGGGCCAACTTGACGGCACATAACAACAACAATAACAACAGAATGACAATATTTAAGATTTCTGATGTAACCAGTTGATGAAGAGAGTATGGATCAAAGGAAACTTTTATACATTGTTGATGAGTAAAAATCGGTAATACCACTTTGAAAACACAATTTCAATTAATTGTGTAATTTAAAACTGCGTGATTTAGTAGTTGCACTCTTATGTACTGGTTTACTCCAGAGCAGTGCTTCTCAAATTTTAATGTATATACAAATTCCTTGAGGACCTTGTTAGAATGCCAGTTCTGCTCTGGTAGTGTAGTGCCTAAGGCATTTGACTGCTAACCAGAAGGCTGATGGTTCAAACCCACCAGCCACTCCTCAGAAGGAAGGTTGGGCAATCTACTTCCATAGTGATACTGCCTCAGAAACCCAAGGAGGGGTTGCTATGAGTTGGGTCCGACTCCATGGCACAAAACAACAACAACAGAAACTTCTAGAATAGAGCCTGAAATTATGCAGTTCCAAAATGCTTCCAGGTGATGCTTATGCTATTGTACAGGTAACTGTAGTGAGTTCAAGGGAGTATAGGGCTGATGAAGAAAAAAGATATAGACATGAGATGGAAGTATAGCACAACAAGTTGTTTATTTGGAGTCCATGGCAATTTGCATGCAAGGGTCAGGGTCCTGAAGCAAAAGATTCTCCAAAATCAAGTGGTGTAAGAAGTCACCAATGGGAACAAGGCAAGGGACCTCCCAAGGGAGAGGATAAAGCAAAGGGGGGTTACAGGTCTAGACAATGTCCCTCTGCAGCAAGGTGAGAAGTCTCTGGGCCAGAGAGCTCTGAAGAGCAGCAGCAGCTTGGGGTTTATCTTATCTATAACTAGCAGTTGTTGGCCACAATTTTATGGGGTATGCAAAACAGGCAGCTATAAATGGATAAAAATTTGCTTATTTGAGCAATTTTTAAACAATTGGATGTGTAAAAAGTTTTAAGTTGGTGCCCTTTCAGTGCTTATACGTCAGCCAGTTATGAAGAAAAAAAACCTGAGACTAATACATAAGGAGCCCTGGTGGCACAAACGTTTAAGTTCTCAGCCGCTAACTGAAAGGCTGGCAGTTTGAATGCATCCAACACTTCTGCGGGAGAAAGTCCTGGGAATTTGCTTCCATGAAGATTACAGCCAAGAAAACCCTATGGAGGTAGTTTTACTCTGACACATGGGGCCATTATGAGTTGGAATCTATTCAACAGCAGAAAATACAACACAGACCATACTCGATGTAGCAAGGTAATAGAACACTGACTTTCAGACTTTTTGACTATAAGCTAAGATAGGAAATGCATTTTAAATCCCTATTCAGTACATCGATTTAAAGATTTCTGAGAGAACATCTAGTCCAATCTCTCATCCCCAACAGTAATAATTTCTTCAGCACTACAGACCTCCCTCGTTACTGTTAAGTTATCTATCCTCTCTTTGACTAATTGTGAAGAATTAGCTCAATTGTCAGGCAGCTATAAATGTTAGAGAATCTCTTTCTCATCTTAAGCTAAAATTTTTTATGCCATTTCTAGATAGGATAGTAAGCGCTACCCTCTCTCTAATAAAGGACAAATCTATGTTCTCTCTTGCACAGTAGTCCTTCACATAGTTTGGTTATTATAAATTATAAAATCATGGTAGAAAAAAGACAACTGTCTTCGTGGGCTCAAATGTACTGAAGATTGGGAAGCTGGTGCAGGATCAGGCAGTGTTTCCTTCAGTTATACTTAAGGTCACCATGAGTTGGAGCCAACTTCATGGCAACTAACAACACTTTAATATGTTAGTTTTGGTTCTCGAATGAATTTTAATAGACCCCAAATTGCCTAATCTTCTATTTAGCATACTTATTAAGGTATCACAGGCCAATATATATTGATTTTTGTATTGCAGGACACAAATATCTATTTGGCTGGCACTGAAGAAGGTCATATTCACAAATGTTCTTGTTCATATAATGAACAGTACTTAGATACTTATAGAGGACATAAGGTTTGTTGAATTATAGTGAGTATGTAAATTATGTAATATTTCTCAAAAACTGCTATCAAAAATATTTACAGTATTTTTACATCCAATAAATTTGTAACATCATAGTTAAAAATACCAACTCAAATTAAGTGCCTTTTTGTATGGAAACCACCAATAATGTATGGAGTGTTATGAAAGCAGAATGCCATATCTTTCTCCTGCAGAGCAGCTAGTGGGTCCACACTGCCAACCTTTTTATATATAAAAAGTAGAAGGCATAATTTTAGATCCTACAGAATGATTTTTTTCTTGAAAGTTACATAAACCACAATTTGTATTTGTTTTTTAAAAACAAATGCTTACAATAATGCTGATACCACCATAAAATTGTTTCATACTTCTCTACATTTATTATAATTGTTCCATCTGTGTTTTCTTCATTTTTGCCCCCATTTCCATTTTTTCCTTACCATTCATTGCTATCTTTTAAAAGTAAGTAGGAATAATATTTATTAATATTTTAGTGAGTACTGTAGTGCCTTAATTTTATGTTTCTGTATGGAATAATTTAGGAAAGATTAAATTTATAAACTTGCTCTCAGCTGAAACAACCCACACAGTAATGGATGGTGCATAAAACTTCTATGAAAGTTAGCATTTTAAAATTCAAGTATAAGATGTTAAATATTGTTTACCTATTTATTTTAATTAATTTTTCTAATTCTAGGGTCCAGTGTATAAAATAGCATGGAATCCATTTTACCATGATGTATTCTTAAGCTGTTCTGCAGATTGGGGTGTTATTATATGGCAACAGGACAATATCAAGCCATTTTTAACATTCTATCCAACTACTTACGTTGTTTATGATGTTGCCTGGTCTCCTAGATCATCCTATATCTTTGCAGCTGCCAATGAGACCAGAGTGGAGATTTGGGACCTTCACATCAGCACGTGAGTGTTAATATTTTTCTTTTATCTTTTTTCAGTGTTCTTTCCCTTCCCCTCCCACCTGGTAACCAACAAAGAAAGTTTCCTTCCATGTATAAATCTTTTCTTGACTTTACATAATAACAAACTATACAATATTTGTCCTATGATTGACTTTTCACTCAGCATAATGTCCTCCAAGTTCATCCACATTAGCAGTGTTTTGCAGATTCTACATTATTCTTTAGTGTTGCATAGTATAACATTGTGTGTATGTACCATAGTTTGGTTATCTATTCTGTTGATGGACACATAGGTTGTTTCTTTTTGCTATTGTAAATAGTGATGTGATGAACGTGGGTGTGCATATATCTGTTTTTGTCCTCGCTCTCACTTCTGTAGGATATATACCTACTAGTGAGATTTCTGGATCAAGTGGATTTCTAATTCCAACTTTTTAAGGAATCGCCATACTGCTTTCCATGGTGGTTGTATCATTTTACAGTCCCACCAGCAGTATATGAGAGTCCCAATCTCTCCACATCCTCACCAGCATTTGTTATTTTCTGTCTTGTTGAACTTTGCTACTAGTGCTGGGGCAAGATGGTATCTCATTGTTGTTTTGATTTGCATCTCTCTAATGGCTAATGATTGTTAACATTTAATATTTAATATTTTTCTTGAAGATACTTCTAACGGAAGCAGTTTAAATGATACCAGATGTTTTTCTGTGTGTGTGATTTGGGTGACACTGTACAGAGCAAATTGATTTTCTGTTCAACAATCCTTACACGTTCTGTTTTGTGATATTTGCTGCAATCCTCCCAGGGTAACAGCATTCTTCCTATTTCCTCCCAGTGCCTAACCCGTCCCTTCATTCTTACTTCCTATCCCCTCCTACTTTCCTAGTTCTATCCCCCAGGCAAATGCTGTCCTCTTAATCCCACATGCGTAATTGTTGTAATGAGTGCATACCCTTCTGGTATTACTGTTCACATTAATAGGTATTATTAGGTACCTATAGGTTTGGCTGTCATTTGAGTCCTGGAGGTTGAATTTGATTCCTAGCTTGAAGGGCTGTAGTCTCAGGGTTTCTACCAGTGTTCATCAGACCAGTAAACCTAGTAATTTTTTTCATAATTTAGAGTTTTGTTCCACATTTTCCCCAACTCTTTCTGGGACCTCTTATTTTGATCCCTTTCAGAGTGGTCAGCAGTGCTAACCAGGCACCATCTAGTTCTTCTGGTCTCAGAATCACGGAGGCTGGGGTTCATTCACATACTCCATTAGTCCTTTAGACTAATTGTTTCCTGTGCCTTTGATTTTCTTCAGTCTTCTTTGCTCCAGACAGGGAGAGATCAATAGTTTCACCTTAGATGGCCACTCAAAAGCTTTTTTTTTTTTTTTT